GGGGGGAGAAAATCCAAACAGCTCATTTGTCTTTTGTGTGACTCTTCCCTCCTCCCCTCCCACCCTGCTTGAAAAGCACAGTCCCAGGAGTCTTTTATGGATACCAAGGAGGGAGGGTGAATTGCAAGCTAATTTTACCTCCTTCACCAATGACAGCTGCTGACGTTCAAATTAATGAAAATAAAAATTCAACATGGGATGAAGTCTTGGCAACTATCTGCCCACGCGGAAGCCAGTGACCCAGTGCTGTGTCTGTTCGAACAGCTATATCCTACCTTACCATTACCGGCTGAACAGTGCTAAAAATAAAAATAAATAAAAGGAGGGCTGAGAGAGGCATTGAAAACGTACGTGTTCATCCTTGCCACCTCTCACATTTCTTAATGGCTCCATCCAGCTCATTCAGGCACAAAAAAGGCTTCAAAATAAAACCATGAAGAGCTTTTGAATTGCTGTGTTTGTCAGACACAAACATGCATACATGATTTGCAGCTAGAAACGCACCTTTTCAAGCACCAGGCTTTACTTAAAGACTCCAGTCCTGGCTTTATTTTCCAGCCTCAGACTGGAATGCTAAGGAAGCAAAACAAATAAACCAGAATCAAGCTATGCAGCCATTTGCCTCTGCAGGAGGACTGGGCTGCAGCGGAGGAAGGGGTTAATGGTAGGGGAGAAAAAAGCAGAGCACAGCCTTCTAAATCTGAAACGCAGCACAAAAGCAACAAGCAAGATGCTTACATCCATTTATTGCATATGCTGCCTCTCTCCAAATAAGAAGGCAGCCACTTCTGGAGAGGATGCTTTGTCACGTGCTCAATGCCACAGTTATTCTCTCCTCAGCACTTCCCTCGGAAGAGATGTTTAACACCGATTGAACCAGGGGCACGTAACATTTAAAGCTCTCTACAGAGCTGCATAAATCTTTAAATAACCCTTTAAAAATAAAAGCACATTCTCAAAGCCCCTTCTTCCTCTGAAGAATGCAAGATTTAATGAGGTTCCCTCTCTTCCCCTCCCAAACTGAACACCCACTCCCACCTGTGAGTCACTTGTGCTCCTGCCCTCGCTGCCCAGCAGAGCCACAACTGAATTGATCAGTCACTTACAAGTTTTTTTAAATTTTTATTTTAATATGGCGTCACTGTTAGAAATGTAACTCGCATGGAGCTGAGCAAGTTCAAAAGGATCCTGCAGGAAGACTCAGGTAAAAAAAGATTAACATTTATTCTCTATGCAAGCTGCCCCCCTGCCTTTGCAAATGCCATGCAAGCCCACCGGAGCATACTGTACCCACGCTAGGCTCCCTCCTCACCCCCATTCCTCCCATGAGCTTGTTGTGTTGAACTTCTGGGGAGGGGATTTCTGTCCATCACAAACATTGAACCTGTGAACTGCACCTTCATATCCCATCTCACCAACCCCTCTTACCCTTTTTTTTTTGTGAAGGGATCTTATTTTAAGGCCTTATTTTAAGGGATTTCTACAAGTCCTGTGAACAGCTTGACCTCCATCACAGACTGATCAGAAGTTGTAGGGCAAAGCAGAGAGAATGATCCATCACAGTGGACCGGTTCTCAGCTGTTCAGTGCTTAAGCCCAAATCAAATCTGTTCCTGCTGGGTTTTGGGGCACACTGGACTATCCTTTCTGTCCTTTCTAGGGCAAGCCAAACCAGAGGTGATTTGTCTAAGGCAGAAGAATTTGTTCCATTCTCAAATATGTTCCCAAAGAGCCACATGTGTTCAGACTCAATGAGCTACCTAAGCCAGGGCCCTGCCTGACAGTGACGGCTGCTCAGGAGCAGCACGACAACATCCCAGTATAGAGAAATCCTCCTCCTGCTCCGGATGGTTCCCTGGGGACTTCCTGAGCTCTAGCCCTTATCTGGACTGCTGTGTTTGATAGCCCCCAAAGAATCCACCCTTCATGGATGCACTCAGTCACCAACACTACAGTGCTGGGAAGAGGACATTCAGACTGGCTGGAAACAACGCTTTATTTTACTATCTACCTAAGCAATTAAGCAACAACTCTTACAATAACTGAAAGGTTATTTTATCCACCAGTTAAGTTAAACCAAAATCATGTCCAGCCCACCCACCCTGGCTAACTGTAACATGGGAAGTGCTGGTCTATGGGGCCACAATTAGCGTTTAGGTCTCCAATCCCTCTGAAACAGCACAAATTACACATGAGAACTTAAAAAAAAAATCTTCCAGTAATTTGCCTGTCATCTTCTGAAATGACAGCTCTTATTTGGGTTTAAATACTGCTGTTTGCATTAGGAGGGTATAATAGCTGATATTACCATTCTGGAGATGATCTCCCACTATCAAAGTCACCTGCCTGCGTGTGTGGGTACATCCACCTCAGCTGGCAGATAGACATGGCTGCTGGAGGAGCACCTGCACCAGCACAGGCCAGGCTCAGGCCAGGCTCCCGGGCGTGCACGGGGCAGTAATGCTGCCCGTGGGACACGGCCGCAGCCGCCCACGGCCGGAGGAGGCCTGGGAGCGGATACCGACAGTCCAACAGCAGGAAAGCGTGCACACGTGGGCACAATGCTTCGCCCACTCAGTGCGGAGGGCTCAGCGCCAACCCTCACCCGACCGAGAAGAGGATCTCGCACACTCTGCTGTTCTTCTTCAGAAGAAGGGCAGAGCATGCTGTTTTTCCAAATGCAGATGATAACATGCAACGCCCAGCTGCAGTGCCGCAGGCCAGAGACCCTCAACAGCAACCAGGACAGACAGCTCTGTCCTGGGCCTGCTGGACACACAACCACTCTCTGATGTTGGAAGTCTGCCTAAGCTTCCACTTTTTAATCACACTGAAGTGCATAAACCAGACAGCAACGCAGGCTAATCACCACTGGAAAAGTTAAAAAGAAACAAAACATTTTAACTTGAGTGAGAACAGACAGGAATACATCTTCTGTACAAAATCATTCGTGGGGCAGGTCTGCAGGAATGGGCTGGATTTCACAAGCCCAGTAACCCACTCTGAAAGGGGTCACAAACAGTCTTCCTCTGCAGCATGCTGAACCCCTAGAGCTACCCTTTGCTTAAGAATACAAAGAATGACTCCCTTGCAGAACAAAGTTATCTGCTTTGGAAATAATACAACTGTCCTGGAGATAGGTAGGATCCTGATGAAGCTTGGGGGAAGCAAGGAGATCATCCTGCACTCTCCAGCCACTGCAGTTAGCTCAGGCCATAGAAAGCCCAACAGGGCAGTGGCTTTGGGGCCTAGGCTAAGCTTCATGCTCCTCTTCTGCGCCCATGGCCGGTGGGAGCATGGCTTCCTTTCCAAACAGCTCGTCATGACTGCTCAGTGCTTCGCTCTGTCCTCTAAGCCCTGCCTCAGCTTCCTCCTCTGCAGCTGGGAACGCACAGGGAAGCAACAGAGCACCGTTAGAGACATGCACATGCTTATTCTCTAGATTGACGCCAAAAAAGCAGTAACAGACTGTCCTGTGGGCTCTGGGGCTGGCTGCGAGATAGTCAAGTACTAAAAGCAACAGATCTGCTCTCGCAGAGGTTATCATCTTGGAAGGCTGGCTCTCCAAGGGAGGTTCTGGGCACACACAGACCAACCATATCTTCCTTCTGCCTCTTGAAGCCAGTTCAGAAAGGAAAATGTAAAATTAGAAAGGGATGCAAGTGATGCTGGTTATGGATTTTTAAGCGTGGCAGCCTCATCATTCTGCTCAGGCCCCACTGTCTGTGACGAGGCTTCCAGCCCCAACATCTCTGCAGAATTACGTCTCGGGCACTTACGCATGGGCTGTTCCCGGCGAGAGCTCTTGCAGAGGAAAATGGCTAACCTCTGACAACGGGGAAGGCATCTGGCAAGTCCTCTTCTCTCCTGCTTCTGTGCTTAGAAAGGCCCTAGCAATCAAGTATGTGCTTCAGTGAGTCTACCACATTTTTAAGAGGATCCCTCCTTTCAAAAAGCCTCCACTAAGCTGTGAGGAAAGGCTCGGCCCTGGTCAGATTCTAGCACAAAAGTCTGCAGGATGTAAGAAGAGAGCAAAGGACAGAGCTCTGCAGGTCACCCAGCTGGCATTGGGACATTAGTTCTATTAGAAAAGGTTATAAATTACTCGACTGTCACCAGTGAATCAGCACTTGGAAATAAATCTATTTCACTTTGATGAGACTCCCTTCATCTTGGCAGGCTCCACCTCGGACCCACCTACATATCCGTTTGGCTGAACATCTGAACAGACACCCTGTTGGGGACTGTTACCCAAGGATGTCATACAGCATGGAGCAAAGCGCTGGCTTAGCGAATTGGGCTCAAAGCAGCCTCTCCCCTTCTCCCCTTGGAAGGCGCTGCCTGGGAAGCCAATCTTGTTTCAAGTTGTTGCCCAAAGAAGTTTTGAGCATTGGGTACAATTTGAGGTTTATTACAACTCAAGGCCTGACACTGTTCGTCCATGATAGTGCTTCAGAAACGCAACTGCCGCCTAATCAGGAAACCAAGAGAAAAACAAGGTCTTCAGGTGCAAGATTTGGTAAAACCAGACCTTGCTTTTACTCAGGTCCACAGAAGCCCACCAGGCCGTCATTAAGGAAAAACTAAAGCAGTTTAGTTAGTCTTGAACTACAGAAACTAGGACTTTCTTTCTCACAAGGAAAGATCAGTTGCAGGTACCTCTAATCACACTGCGGTAAAGTAAATCAACATCCCTACAAACAGTACTTGAAACCTTCCTTCCAAAACAATTAAACTAGGCTGGAGCAATTAATCTAGAAACTCATGTTCTGTTGATGTAGGCAATGAGAATACAGGCAGCAAGACAAGGAAACTGCTGCCTCGATACAGTACCGCTGCTGCAATGACTGTAAAGCTGAGCAGTCTTTGTCTTTAGTCTTACCGCAGACATGCCCTTCAGCCTTCTGCTCACAAGCTATATGGCTTACAGGTACAAAGAGGCCAAAGAAGGAAAGCTACTTGATTACCACCACTTTGTAAGAACTGCATGGTTAAAACCACACATCCCCCTGTACTTACTGGTTGTTTTACCTTACAACAACAGGAAATCCCTAATAAAGAAAGAAGCAGTTCTGTAACCAGACAGTTACCAAGACTGGAGCAGAAAAAAGGTCTCAGTGTAAGGCTATAAGCACCCTTCTTCCCCAGATGTGCCATCTACTCTGAACACTGAGTCATTTTAGGGCTCTGCTCCAGAATAACTCAGTCTAGCAAAACCAGCCAAAAGAATTAAATGTGCTAAACAACAGAGTCCAGCAGGAGCAAGCTATTACTGGATGAAGGCAGGAAATTGGCATATGGGTAACACACAGGAAGGGGCATCCTGGTTGATCAAATAAAGGACCAAGGCATCCGGAGCATCATGGCTCACTCACTATGCGTCACTCACACCACTTAATAATCAATAGTCTCCTCCACTGAAAGGATTATTCAGACCTCAAGGCCTTTCCTAAAAAGCTTTAAACAGACAAAAACCAAAAAGCCGCTTCTGCCCTACCCATTCCAGCATCATTCTCTCCTACCTGGTACTGTGAAGTCCTGAGTGTAGATGATATCATCTTCAATGTCATACAAGTCATCATCTTCTTCCTCATTGTAGCCATGCAGATCTTCCAGATAAGGCACCGCCGTCATACTTCTCCACCTGTCCTTTGTTTCTGGGCTGGGAGGTATGGGCACCAGAGCCTCTGCCTGAGCATGTTTCTTACGAAACCAACTGCAAAGAGACCAAGAGCAGAGTTTCATCAGTACAGCTTCGCTTTTCAGAAGGCACGGAGAAATCTTTGACGCTACGAGATGGTCCCATTCCACCCCAATATTCAAAGGTATGTGCAGTTTGCTTATGGAAAACTTCCTGGCCAGTTTTATGCCACTGCAGGTTTTTTAAATGTGTAATAACCAAGAGAGGCAAGTGTCAAGAAAGGCAAGTCTGTCATGCTGACAACGCTGCAGGGACACCAACAGCTGTGTAAGCTACTCCACAAGGTGCTCCATCCACTGGGTGCTTTGTCAGCTAAGGAGAAACTAACAGGTCTGCTTGGAAAACAGAGTGCGGGAACATTTTTCTCCATCGTCATCTCAAGCCCAAACTACCTACCTATAAGTCAAAACACATTATTAGAGGTGCTAGAGCTCCTGAGTTGTATTGCCAAAGCAAGTAGGAAAGGAGAAACGTCTATCCTGAAGTTGAGGCTAATCCCGCGCAACAAGACAAAAGAAAGGTTGCAGAATGTCAATCTAAGGAGAGTGTTATTTACTCACAAGCTCCTTTAACAGGCAGTTTTCAACAAGACCACAGCAAAAATACTTATACTTTATCTTCTTATCCCACCTCTGTCTCAAGGGACATCTGTTACCATTAAAACCAGTAGCCATAGTGCTACCATCTGCCTAGTAAGGGATATCAGCTCTGAAAGCTGTTCTTAATCAGATCAAGAATCCAACAGGCTTACATCACATCAGCATCTCAGAAGCCATATGGGTGGCCTCTTTCGTTTTTATCGTACTTTCATAGCAGGGTTCCAACACCTGACTGTCTCTGGGACATCCATCAGCACTGCCTGTGGGCACTGAAAGTTTTCTAGTATTGCTGGAACCTCCGCACTCCTACCAATCCTCTCTTGAATGCAGGTGTGAACAGAAGTTCCTCCAGACCTAGGAGGAACTTTCCAGCCCACACACCTCCTGCTGCTCCTTGCTCCCCCTGCAACACGTCCCACAGCAGGGAGAATCAGCTGCCTACAGCTAGCAAATGAAAAGGTCAGGCGATGGCCATCCAGTCGCTCCCTCCCCGATAAATGGTGTTGTTCTGCTACCTTCGAAGGTGGTGTGCCCAGCAGCTGGCTGTCCCTGCTAGCAGGGAGGCTGTCCTACAGAGCACTTCATCAGGCCGTTATTTATGCCTTGCCCTGGAGGGTCATTCTACACGAAGGAAGGGTCAGAAAGCATCAAAACCTCCCACATTTAGAACCATCTCCTGAACTGCAGCCTGCTTTCCTGATAAACTTTTGAATTGGCACTGATACCAACCGCCCTATTTCTACACTGTGGGCTGGATGTCGGTTAAGCCACTGGGACCTATTCTTCCTGGTCTTTGCACAGTAACAAAGCAAAGAAAAGCCTCACCAGATCAACTGCACTTTTGTGCTCACCTTGCTAAATATTATGTAGATGCCACTTACCTGCACAAAGGGACATTCAGAGTCTTTCACAGCAGGAGGTAGCCTAGAAAATCTAAGCCTTATTCCCCTCTCAAAGTTTACTTTAGGCCACAAAAGGGTGCTGCTTTAGGAAGCAACTTAAGGTCTCTCTGAAAACACACCTCAAAAGCAGAGCAAGATCTAAAATTATCCCCTCACGGCATATTCACTTCTTTGCCTGACGACTGCTGCCCTAGACAAGCCTGATGTGACACGAGTGCTTCCCCCTCCGTAGTTCGCACAGGCATCCAGTAACTCCTGGCTAATAACCACTGAGGAGGGCCTGAAGCCAGTCACCAAAGAGCTCTTATAAATCTGAGCCATCTGTTTTTTATCACTCCAGTTCCAAATTCATTTTAGGAAGTAAGGGTTGGATGCACCTTCTGCACAAAAGAATGGTAATTATAATTTTGTTCTAGTCTTACATTGCTTTGACAGTGGGCCTAAAAAAAAGGGGCAATCTAACAAAACTATCCAGCAAAAGCAAGGAGTTGGGAGATAAACAAATGAAAATGTAGCTACTGGGTCAAATCAGCTAGGATTCAAAGGGGGAGTGAACCCTTATCCAGAAGCCCTGCTTCACAATTAGCATCCTCAAACTGTTTTCTCTGTAGTGATTGAGTTTTAAAGTCAGCCTACTGCTCTGAGGAAGGCAGCATCTTGCCATTTGCAGTAAGAAAGAGTGAAGTAGTCCCGACAGCCTAGAGTTTTAAAAGGAAATATATTTTGGTTAAACACAGAACATGTCAACGTCATGCAAGGAATCATATTCCATCCTTCCATGCTTACAGTCTGAACGGATGCACAACACCCCAAACAGCGATGAGGTTGGCACGTTCCAGTTACACACTGATGTGGATCTACTGGCATTTCTTCCACGGCCATACCATGACTATACTGGAAGCTGTGGTGAAAGCAGCATATTTTAGGAAAGTGACCTGAACGCAGAACTAATTTGTCAAGTATGACCTCTGGTGCACGAAGTGGCATTACAAGAGTTAAGTACAATGTCATCCCAGCTACTGGGCTAGCAGGAAGTGAGCGCGTCCAGCATAACTAGATTTTGGCCAACAGTTTTAGCAAACTCTGTGGATGGCTTCCTTGGTGATGTGCATGGCACACAGCACTTCTAATTGGATCATTTGATTTCCTTTCCTTGGGAGACTGCTTTCATCAAGGAAGTGACTGCCAAGATAGCAAATTCAGCCTAGGCTGATCCAGCCTGGCAGGATCATCTAGCACAGGAACAGAAGACCCAACACAGCCACCAGCTATTTTTGCCAGGGGCACTGGAGCTAGCGGGACCCAAACTAAATGCCAGGGACCTAAGGAGAATGGAATATACAGGACAAATGAGATCAGAATGACTGTTATGAAAAGGAGTATTTTAAAGGGAGAAAGCCTAGAAGTCTATAGCAGCTAGTGTTTTTATTTTGCTGTATTTCAGCTCTGCCTCTTTCTTTCCTTCTGTCCTACTTAGCAGGAGAGTAAAAATAGGTTTTTATTAACAGCAGAAACCTGAATCACTGTACTCTAGTCATAATGATTCCATCCTCTGGGAGGTGATTTCAAATACTTGCATATGCATATATGGTAATGAGGATATAGAGTGAGGAGAGAAATTCATTGAAGTTCTAAGAAAATCAAAGACCTCTTGGAAGGTGCCTCAAGCAATTCTGTACGGAGTAGCAGAGTATTTCCTGGCAAGCAATTTTCCAGCAGGGACAGAGATCCTGCTTTCTGCACTGGTGCTAAATGTTATTAGTGAAGATTTGCTCTTCAGCTGAGGACCGCTGTCTCCATCAAATGCCCTAATCTGGCTCAGGAAGCTACTGGCCACTGACTAAGCCAGAAAGCAGCTGCTCTCCCACAGTGCAACTCTCCCACTGGTCAGCAACGCAGATGAGATGAAGTCCCTCCTGACCCTGCCTTCACCGCTGACCCTGAAACACGGGCTGGATTAAAGTACTACTGACAGAGTGCCCTATTTCACCATTTACTCCCAAACAGTTTCACTAATGTTTCCCGAGCCAACTGCCCTGGCACAAACACAGCCATTTACCTGGTGCTCACAGACCGACGCTTTAACACTAAGGGAAAGGGAAAAGAAAAGCTTTTGCAGATCTCAAAAGCGCCCCTTGTCCAGAACGTCCCTTGGAAGAGGCAGATTCCTCCCCGATCTGTGAAACATTTCTTAGCCACTCCCAGCCCTTTGAAACAGAGTGAAGGAAGCAGTAAGAAGAGATCATTTCTTACTACTTTGCAAGCTTGTTGAGAATGCCTGCAAAGCACAGAAACTCCAGACAGCAGCAGCACAAGTATTAATTGTGATCCTGCCGGTTAAGAAGTGGTGTCCAGACGGGTTGCTATAATCTAAAGGGAGATAAGACAGCAAGGGTCAAGGACTGAATGAAAAAAGAAATCTGGGTTGACCAATGCTTAATGAGCCTGTCCGGTTTGCAGCTTCCAAGATCGAATTTCACATCAGAAGTCATCACTCTGCTTTTCTCAAGTTCTGGTATAAGCAAGGTTAAAATAAGAATCAGTAAGCACAGCTGCAGCTTACAAATACTTACAGCTAATTCACTTCCCATTCTAGGTCACAAATATTTCAGTTTGCTTGTTTTGTATATGGACAATTTTCTCTGAAACCAGATGCCAAGCTGCAGATCACCACCCTGCCAGCAAGGATCAGTTATGAATGATTCTCCACCTCCCATGATACCATGTAAGGGCTTCAAGCTTACTGGAAGGTCACCGTCACCACAAGAAGCAACTAACAGCATCCCAGTTTAATTCAGTACTCTCGCAAACGTGGAAGGCACACAACAGTATGCCCTGGGGAAAGGCAGCACATGCTAGCAATAAATACATAGCGGCATCCCTGCAATCACTGCTCCAACTCCTGTAATATCAAGAGATGTCCAAGTTCTTAAAAAAATAGAAATGCGCAAGAAAGAGAAGCAGTTTTCCCCTGGGTGATGCTAGGGCCAAAGGTGACATTCAGACTCCTACGAGGAGAGGTGTTCTGTGCACAGATGGAGACTCATATTCCTTTAACACACCATACACAGTTGCATTATGAAACTGATTTGCAGAACATGGGTAGAAGAACCAAAGATTCCTTCCGTGTGCCTGCCACAGAGAAGGCAGGCAGACCCTGGTGCCTCAGCAAGAAAGGAGAGGAGGAGTGCTTTTTTTGTGTGTCCCACCAAGGGGAGATTAACTGCATGACACCACGGACAAGGCATGGGAAAAGCCCATGAGTATACATGCTGCAGCAGAGGTTAAGGGAAACCCCTCTCACTCCCTCAAATGCAGACACAGAAGCCAAGGAGCACGCTCGGCACCTGCAAAGGAATCTACAGTGGCAAACACACACAGATTTCCAAGGGCTCCAGTACCTGGGGTTTGAAGAGCATGGCAGAACATCCAACAGCTCCCCTCCAAACGTCTCGGGTGAGCAAAAGCGCTCGGGAAGGTGGCACGGCAGCCTCTAGGAGGTCAGGAGGAGACACTAGCCCAGCAGGTTAATTTGCACCTCTACTAATAAAAGGTGGAAGTGCCTTCCCTTTCTTGCTATAAACTCTTGCAATCGTATCTATGACTGAACAAATTAAGTGTGACACTTCTGGAGAAGGAAGGCAAGATGGTTGCCTTGGAAACAAGGGACAGAGGTAGAATTCTGCATCCACTTCATCACTTTAAGTGCTGCAGCAGGGTCAGTGAATTAGTTACAAAATGCAGTATACGAGCATTAAGCCCTTCAGCAAAAGCATGGGGTAGAAAGGAGATGGTGAATAATCTATAGGGAGCAGGTTGCTAACTCCCTGGCTCTTGGCAGCTTTTCTTCACTGCCCCGTGCCCCCACCCCAGGAGTACAAAATATTCACAGAGGTGAACTAAAAGTGTCAGTTTTCCATTGGACATCATCCTATCCAGATCATTCTGGGAAAAGCAGGTTTCAAGGCTCTTTCATTGTTATTCAGGGGTCAGCTTCTAGCAGTTCATAAACTCTTACATGACAGGCTGAGAGAGTTTTAATTCATTTCAATTTACAACTTACAGGTCTGCACTGGAGATTGACTAGATTTGAAAAGCCTCTGAAAGCAAAGAAGAGAATTTAGCTTTGTTCTGCTGAATTAAAACAAAGCGCAGAAACATGAGTTTGATGCAAGAGTTTAGTCACAGAAGTGAGGACAGGAGGAAGGCAGCTGGCAGGTATAAAACTAAGCAGACTCTTCCTACAGCATTCTTCAGACAGGGCTGCCACTACAGGGGGGAAAAGCATTTGGAGTAGCTGAGAAGGATAAAGGGAGGAATGGCAGAATTACCATTGCTGGGCAATAAACATGTCCCTGGCTGCCTTCTCTGCCTCCTGCAGCTCTGTTGCTTCACAGAGCGATACTCAATACTTCCTCAGTGGCTCCCCTGACCCACTGATTAAGCCTTTTGTCCTTGATCCCACTACAACAGCAAGAAACATCACTTTATGGAAGGTGAAATGTGAGCCGTTTATCCAGCTCTGGCTGGATCCTGAGCGCCCAGCTCCACGGCTGCAGGACACCTGCTCCGTGACGCTTCCCTTGGGATCACCCTTCCCCACAGGATAGGGGAACGTGGCCCCTTCCCATCGTGCTGACACGAGCCTGGTCTAGCAGCATTTGGCTCCAATGCAAAAACACTGCCCAGGACATGGGGGCTATTTTTTTTTTTGCTGATTTTCAGTGCACTTTGATAATCTCGACTGTCCATATGAGCAAGTCACCAGTAACATCAGCTCAAAGACATAAAAGAAGACTTCCAGCAGCATGGAAAGGCACTGGGTAATTCTGGTTTGAGCCAGTATCCATCTCAGCAGGGCAGCCCGGGTAAGTCGCTTGATGTTTCTATAGTCTAGTTCCTGTGCCTTAACACATGCTTTTGTGGGAGGAGTGTAAAGAAACCCAAAATCATTAATGACTATTACTCCCACACACACTAGAAATCTAAGGATTCTAGAAATCAAGTCTTTTCTAACTAAAATGCTTTCCAAAAACCCTCTGACAATAACTGAATGGCTACCTGCTGTCCTTCCGATTGCTTTGTTCAATATTAAAAAAAAAAAAATCAGGGTCAGGTTAAGCATAAGGGCTAAGCTTCTCTTCTGTTTAAAGAAAAGCCAAGAGAACCAAACATTGGATTCTTTAGCACAATGCTACTCCACAAAAAGGAGATGGACATCCAAAGCCCAAGGCTGCAAGCTCTGCTGTGCTTGATGTAATTATTAGGATGCCACAGCAGGAGGAAGGAGGCAATTACTAATAGGGGAGAAAAGCCTGTTAAGAAGCACTGGCTAAGCTCACAGAAAACTAAGAGACTAAGCCTTGGAAATGCTCCTGTGTTTGCAGGTAAAGTCTTTCTTCAGCCCCTCTCAGTGCTATGAGATGAAAAGCCTCACCACCAGCAGCTGTGCCCAATTAGAGGGCAGGCTGTGCCTATAGAGCATGGGAGATTTGCGACTGCCCTCCATGCCAGAAGCATGCTCTAGTTTCTCCTGCTTTCTGGCTACAGGCAGGGTCTCTAGAGAAACCTTTTTGCTTCCAGCTGGGCAAAGCTGACGCAAAAACTCACTGCCACATGGGAGAAGTATAAAATCAAGAATATAGAGTTGGATAACTAGCTCAAATACTCAGCAGATAGTGACACATGAGAACCAACTACACTGTCCCAAGCTTAGGGGCAGTTCACTGCAGCCTTTGACCCACAACATTGATAGGAAAGAAAGTGCTTGCAGTGCTTTTCTCAACACCTACTAATGTATCCCACAGACTTAATTCCTGCAATGCTTCTTTACAGTGCTTACTGACAAAGCATCGGTTTGACCATGTGGCAAGCTGATCACCACCCTACGACTAGCTGTAATGAACAGGAGAACTACTTCATTACGAAGTACAAAAGCATACAGTGCTTTGCCGCCTAGCTTGAAGCGCTCTAGTCCTCAGTGGTAGATGGGAGGAGAGTCAGTAACAGCAGGAGCTATTGTTTCAAAGACCAGCTCTATATGGTGCTTTAAATGCCACGTGGCATTTAAGAGGCCAGCCCCAAGCAGTCTCTTTCATGACCCACTATTATTGGGAGGCATGTGCATGGGGAAAGGCAGTCTTGAAAAGCAAATGCCTGCTCCTATCATCTCCCAGACCCAGTGAAACAACCAATGCACAGTGCTTGGCTACTATTTAAAAGAGTCAGCCTGCTTAATTAATTGACCAGGCAGCTACATAAGACCTGCCTCCCCAGCCTCTTTGATCTTTGTCAGGGGTAGGTCGCAGTTGCTCCTCTACAGAACACAGAACACCAGTGCAGTTCAAGCTTGTCAGGTTTTGTTCTGTGGCTCCTGCAGATGTCTCCCATGCCATAACATCTACCAGGGATCACCATCTGACAGCACATGGCTACCGCTGCTGTTTTTTTTCAGAGACACAACAAGAAAATAGTGCTCTTCCTGCCTGCAGGCAGCAAAAAGGAGGCCCATCACCTTCCAGGATCAGAGCCTTGTTTTTACAAGGTTCCCAAAAGCTTTCTGGGCAAGCTTGTAGGCAGGACCTCTGCCGAGCAGCTGCGGTCCAGCAGGCAGCTCTGCGTGTCCTCAGAAGCACTTCCTATTCAAATAGGAGATAAGCTAATGCAGCCTCCGCGATGAAGCATCCTTATGATGCTTTTTGTTCTTGTACTTTTATCCGCCCAGGAAATCTCTGCTCAGAAGCAGCATGTTCAAACAGATCCTTTAAAAAAAACCCTCAGAGATAACGGGGCCTTTCCCCCCTCAGACAATGGCAAGGATAAAGGGAGAGGATATGGAGGAGGGAGGAGTATGACATTAAAGAGAAAGAAAAAAATTTTCCTATTGTCCTGGAACGCTTCTCCACACACTGATTCCATATGGAGCAAATACCAAGGGATATTTCTGTCACCAGACTGTCCAGAAAACCAAAACTGACATACATTACTAAACAGTCCTAGTTCAATAACCCAGCTTTAAGGAACCCCTGCTCTTCTGCTCCATTAGTACTAGCTGACCTCTGAAAAAAATTATCCAGAACCTGTAATTATTAAGAATCAGTCACGCTAGAAACATATTTTCAACATATTCATTATTTACCGGTTAGCAATTCAAATGCTTTAACCGGATGCTCTAATAGGAGGGAAAAAAGCCAAGTAGAGGTTGCCAGAGCTCCAGCAGAGCTGGAGGAAGGATATCTAGTGACTTCCATGTGTCTGCTGTCAAAAGGAAAAATGAGTTGAGAGCAATAGCACAGGTACATTAGCATAAGAAGCAGAAAGAGAATGACTAATAGGAAGAAGCTGAACACTCACTTGTGCTGCCTTATCTGCTGTATTGAAAATCTCTTGGCTGGGTCGTATTCAAGCATCCCTGAAAAGAAGGAAAAAAAGTCCAGGTGTGATCACAGATGCTCTCAGCCAAGTTGAAGACAGGAAGCATAAAGCTCTACCCCTCCCTCCCACCTCCCGCCCCAACAGCGGCTGCTGTGTCCAGTCCTCCTGGCAGCTTAGGGAGCCTTTACCTCCAGGAAGAAGCTGCTGCATCGGTCACAGGAAGCTCAGCACAAAATCACGACTTCATTGCTGACTACCTGATCAAGTCTGTTCCTCAGTTTCCCCACCTGCAAAGTGGATAGGATCCTTCCCTCCTTCACACTGCAGGGACAGAGGCTTGTGCAGCCCTGGATCATATATCCAAGCATGTCTCCAGGCAAAGAACATCAAGACTTTGCATTTCACAGATAATGCTATGAACTTTCTCCATGGAAGAGCCAAAGCCTTAGGCATAGCATATATCCAGTTGCTCAGCATTCCAGAAACTCTAGTCTAGTGAAATTCTATTCTGGAAGTACAGCTGGGGAGAACTGACAAAAAAAATAATCCTACTGTCCATCCTTTTGCCCTAGCCAGGAGTTTGATGTCTGGCATCACCTGCTAAGATAACTGGCGTGGGGGTGAGAAGAGGCAGGGGAGAGGAAAAGTAGCTTATCTGTATTCTCTCTAGGACAGAGGGAGGTGGATTCCTTAGACAGACTCATGAGATGCCCACTCTGCTCTACTGTCTTTAAAAAGCTTCACAACTCAACAGAAGGGAAGTAGCAAATTTTGCCATGTTCTTCAGAAACTAGCCAATGGGACCTAACAAGTCTCATCCAGCAGCATCCAAGATATTCTCCAATGAAGGTTCCAAGAATATATTCATCTAATGAATGTTAACAAAGTCTCACTGCTGTGCATCACAAGGAGTTTTGCTTTTACTGGATGATACCCCCTTGTCACTCTTGAAGCACTGGCACTGTTGAGTCTTGCACAGGTAGCATGAAGAGTAAGGTTTTGGAAAGAGGTGAGAGAACAGGAGGACCCCATCTCCAGCAACCAGAAGAAAAGAAAGGCTAGGAAGCAGAACAGACTGTCAAACAGGAGTTAAAAAAGTCAGAACAAGGAGCAAACAGTGCAGAGTGCTGGGGAGAGCCAGTACAAGGACACAGTGAAAACACAAGGATGGAAATACATTTGGATGGACACTTAGGAAGGGAGGGCTGGAAAAAGACATTGTAGTTCAAGTAAGAAGTTGCAAGAGGTTTGCAGATGAATTTCTGCAATACTGTTGAACAAAGGTAATGGAAGAGATAAATCACCAACAGCACATGTGATAACAAAAGCTGATCCAGAACACCTTCCTTGTCAGTTCAGTTTGTATCACATTACTAACAGTAATGAACACAGGCAAAGAAAAGGTATAGCGCGGAAGGACTGAAGTTATTTTCCCCTCAGAAACCAAAATACGGTTTGCCATGGCAATTTGTAAAGGTTTATCAGTGCTGATGACGGCACCAATAGCTTTAAGGCAGATGGGGTCACTACTGATCCACACTACATCACGATGAAGTAGGTTAAGAAAACATGGGAAGACCTCTCCAGGCTAGAGAAGGTCAAGTGCATCACAAGCATCTGGCCTCACGAACTCAAGGCACTAGAGTCTTCAGAGCCCAACTCTTCAGAGTTCTTTAGGCAGAGCATACCGGAAATCTATACTTGCCTTGCCGAGACCATAAAACCCACCATATGGCTATACTAGAGTTACATGGCTGATCTCGACTGGAGCTAAAGCAATAGCTCCCTGCTCAAGAGCTCTAAACTTTGAGAGTAGTTCCTTACCTTGGGTATCTTCTCCCCTGAATAGGCTAAAGCCCTATAAACAAGCAACCAGGCTGCAGCTACAGATGAAAACTGTACGTGGCAGGAGGTGATTAATGCCAGCGACAGTGCCAGAAGCTGAACAGCTCACCTGCTAGGTCTGCTACTGAGGAACACCACTGAAAGTGTATTTTGAGATGCTCTTACAGTAAGGGTGAGAGAAGGGAAGATATGGTTGAACCATCTTCAGGAAAGAAGGGATTTGATCCTGAATCTTGCTGTCCTGCAAAGTGCTGCAACGCTTGTAATACAACATTTAGGTGCTTTTGCAGGGCTAATTCCAAGCTGCTTCCTCACCTTAGCCATAGATAATGAAATGATGCCAGAGAAAGCCCTCCTTTTTTCAGTGAGTACGACGAAATAAACTCCCTTACAGTTAAAAAAACTAATTATCAGTTTAACACCGAACACAGGGACTTTCTCCACAACAAGGGTCCTTGCAATGTGCATTCCTCCTTTCTTCTGTACTCCAGCATGTGTCCGTAGCAGCCCCTGCAGCCTTCTCGGAATCACAGAACAGCTGAGGTCAGAAGGGACCTCTGGAGATCATCCAGTGCAACCCTCTCGCTCAAAGCAGGGTCAGCTTGCCCAGGACTGTGTCTAGTTGGGTTTTGAATGTCTCTAAGGATGGAAATTCTACAACCCCCCTATGCAACCTGTTCCAGGGCTCAGCCACCCTTGCAGTAAAGGAGTTTTCTCATGTTCAGACGTAATTTCTCCTCACCTTACAAGAAAAGTAGTAATAATTGGAAAACAAGATGGGAAGGTGGTTCAGAAAAAAAATCCACCTGATTAAATGACTTATTAATAAGATTATTAGACAGTAGCTTCACAGCTAAGCTGCCCAAATGTGTTCGCTTTTTTTTTTTTAAAGAAATAGGACTGCAAAGAGATCTTACATGAAGTCTACGGGACACCAAAGCAAGTACTGGCTAGGTTATCTGATTGATGTAATCAGAAACAGGTAAGTCACAACACTACCTCTCCCCCCCCCAGTTTATTTCTTTAAAGACCACATTTCAAGGTGTTTTTGGAATCCAGCTTGTTATCATCAAGTTCAGGATAAAAACTTCTGCACATCCAAGCAGATACAAATGGAAACTCTCCATAGAAATATGAAGTACAGTGGGACTGTCTCAAGGCTCTTGCACTTTTACTTTGGGATTAATTTCACTAGGGTGCTGCAGAAGAGGAGTTGGAGCACCCTCATAAGCAGCTCACTTTGACCAAAGGAAAAAAATAAACATGCAGCAATTCAAACACTGTTTAAGAAATGACAGGCCTAACAAAGAAATTTAAGGCATTTACTAGATGAAACCGGTACAAGCAGAGGATAAAGTTCTAAGGTAAATTATTAAAAGAGGCCTAACAGCACCAGTTACAAATAGCTGTGGTGCAGAGAGCTGTATTGTTCTTAAGCAATTAAAAAGGCATAAAGAAGATAATTAAGCAAAAAGAATGTTTACTTTAATGAGAGAGGACCGTATTTTGGGCAATGTTTGAAAGAAAATGGAAAGTCCAATCACCAAAAATGTACATTCATGCATTAAGCTCTGACTGACTCATGGCAGCATTGTGGCTGAAGTCCTGCGCTGAAAAGAGACTTCAGCAAGACAAAACATCATGTACTATTCACCAGTCAAGAGTGTCTGCCCACAGTAACCACACATACTCTCTACCATTTACGGTAAAGATTTCCATGCAGTTTATCTGTGAGTAGAGATGAGACACACTGCAACAGGGCGATTCTTCAGGAGGACGCCTAACTCGCAAACCTCTGCTCCCGTGGTATTTCAGAAGGATTCGCTGTGCCCATACATGGGATATCGCGCCCATTACAGCAGCACGCTGGCAGTCTCAAACCCTTTTCAAATTATGTCAAGTGGCAATCTGGAAACTGGAGATCACGAACCTGTCTTGAGCTCCTTACAGACTCCAGCCCACACACTTCAATAATCCTGAACAAGCGTAGCATTATATCATGTGGTAGAATATCTAGTTTTTAGCAGACAGCACAATCTTAGGTATGTCGTTTGAGAAGCAGGGGGGGAAGGAAAAAAAAAAATCTAACAGCAAGAGTTAATGAACTCAACCCAGATTTCACTTCAGAGTCAACATTTAAAACAACCAATATAAAAGCAGTATAAGTCCAATTTGTAAAGTGAGACAGGACTTTTTCCCTCTCCATCCTCCACAAGCATAGCCAGGCGTTCTGACCAAAAACTCCCTCTGCAGGCAAACCTTGAGTCTTTGATCAAACACAGGCAGAAGACTTGCCACTGGATGGGTTATAGACACCAGCCTGCCTGATTGTTGGCTCCGGGGACTCCCTGCTACTACTGAATTAAAGCATCGCACTGTCGTCAGAACGCACATCCTCTCACTATCCCTGTAATGAAAGATCATGACAGTTACACAGAAGTGAGAAAACAAAACACTGAGAAACTAAACAATTTGTCCCCTGTCACAAAGTCTGTAGCAGAGCCTGGAAATCAGTTCAGATGCTTAATGCAGAGACTGCAGTCTCAGAGCTTTCTCTTTCAGTAAAAGTATATTAGAAAAGGAGGAAGAAAAGCTGACCTTGTGCATTTTTCTTGTCCAAAAGCAAACTGCATACAAATTGATAAGTCATGTGCAGATGGTGACAGAAGAACCTTAAGGCTATTTATAAATGCTTCCACTCTGATACATCTTTACTGACAGTACACACAGAAGGCAGAACAGCACTAGCCCTTCTCTTTTCCATCAGTGAAGGGTATAAATAAAGCTTCATCCCTGATTAGGGAGACAAAAAGAGGAGCAGCATCCCAACTAATCTGTTGAAATACACTGTCATGCAAGTCTCTTTACAAGTCAAACACCACAGAAGCTTTAAGTCCTCTAAATTCTGCTTCGTCTGGAAAGAAGAACAAAGAAATAAGAACAAGTTCAAGGGGGAGGGGGAGAAAAGTAAAAAAAAAATAAAACAACCACACACTAAAAAAGCAGTCAACAGAAAAACAGGAAAAAACCTTAAAAAGTGTATTCTAGTGTTTGCTTCACAGCCAGACTGGTACTATGGTCAACACAGCACTTATAGCCAGAGAGAAAACAAGCACTTTGCAGCATACTGAATTCTTCCTTACAATAAAACCAGAACAAATGCTTGCAGCACTGCAGAGTGCTTTAAGAGTCTTTTAAAAGCAATGCAAAGGCGAAACAAAGTCTCTAGTGAGATAGAGCTGAGCTGTGGGTGTCTGTGCTGCTCATATAAAAGCAACAGACAGCCATTGACAATATCTGATCTGCAGGCTTTTGATTCAGTTTCAACCTGCTGCAGAAGTAGCGGGCACCTAGCAGGAAATGCAGATGTTCTGGAGGAAAAGCATGAACTAAATAAAGCATTCAGGTTTTGTCACCATAGCTACGTAGTATCACCACTGCAAGGCTCGGCCCTCGCCCTCAGCAGATGCCTTGCTATCTGCTGGGCTGTGGAGATGGCTCAGGCCTCCACAGCGTGGAGGGAGCTGGGGCAATCCCACTCCATAATTCAGCCACCTCAGGCCCACTGGGTACTCGTAACTACTAGAAAAAGTAAAGTGCGTCAGACCAAACAAGGAGAATATCAGGAGTTTTTGCCAGCTTTTACTGTGTAACAGATGCATAGGACAAGACGAGGGGTGGGAGAGTGTTCTCAGGTGGGATGGAGGGAGGACAGTAAAAGGAATGCTTAGGACTTCCCACCATCCTGGAAGAAAGGGTCAAGTTGATAGAGAGACCTAGACATCTCCTCCCAGGCAAGCTCCTCTGCCTACCAAACGCACTTGACTTGCATCTCTGCAGTGTCCAAACACAGAAGGGATGAAGACAGAGAGCAGCTAGGATGAAGAAGGCAACTCGGGCTGGAAGAGATGGACAAAGGGCATGAGGTGCGAGGCTCCTCTGATTAAAATAAGGCAGAAGGAAAAGTAGGAGATTCTGACTCCAGATCTCATACAGAGGATGGAAAGAGAACTCAAAAGGGAGTTGTTCTGCTAATGAAGCATAAGATTTCAAGCTATCAATATCCTTAGGACAAGAAAAGAGAAACAACTGCTACACTCCTTTTCCCTGGGGGACAACACTAAGTGCAGCTGAGAGGCTTATCACAAACCTCAAATGATTTCTGCTGGATGCTTTAGAGGACTGGCTGCCTGTCTAGATGGACCACTGGATTTACTCCATTTGGGCAATTCCCAAGCTCATAAAAAAGGCTGTGTTTTGAGTCAGCATTCACAAATCAAACACCACATGTAGATCAGGACATTGTTCCCTGGGGCACGCGGGTACGACATGAAACACACATCAGTCTGAAGTGCTGGGCCATAAGCAGTAGCCACGTCAGTCCCAGCAGAACGGCCAAGACACCGGCTGTGCTGAGTGCAGTTTGAAGCAATGCCTTATGTAATGCTTTCTGAAAGCTGTTAAAGCAAGTTAATGCTTTTTGAAACACATGGAAATAGCTTATTTCATAATCGGTATGGGGCCAGATAAGCTAAAATAGTCTCCTATGAGTGGGATTGGAGGGGGTCGGCCTCCTCCTCGGCGGTGGGGGGCCGAGGGGAGCCCCGCCGGAGGCAGCAGCAGACGGAGCTCGGACAGACAGCACCACCTGCCGCCACCGCCCGGCACGCAGCCGGCACCGAGCGAGGACGCCCGCGTCCCCAGCACCGCACCGGGCCGCGGCAGAGGTGAGCCTACGGGGCAAGAAAGCGAGTCCAGGCTGGAGCTGCAGCTCCTCGCAGCCATCCACGCAGGAGCCGGGAGCCCACGGGCAGCACAGACTTTCCTGCGGATGCACAACTGCTGCCGTTTGTAGCATGAAGTGCAGCCGTAAAATGCTTTGAAATTGTTGACCTTTTCACTAGCCACAAACTGCAACAGCACCATGACCACACAGAGGACACAGCGCAGCGCACAACCCCCCGGTTTAGCGATAACACCCGTATTACAAGCAGACCTGATGACACTCCTGACAGGAGAAAGGGAAGCTGACTCAGTTTGCCCACAGTGCCCCACAGCTCTTCACCCACACTAACCTCCTAACCCTGTGTAGCACAAAAACCAGAAAAATAAGCTTGAAACAAGACAGCATCATTTCATATTTGAGGTCTGATCTTTCGCCAACAGCTGAAGACAAAGAAGAGAGAGCAATCCCGTGCTGAGGGCTGGGGAGCACTACGGCACCTGCCTGCTTCCCTTTCAATGAGGCAGCAGGACTCCGGTCAGGATTTCCCACATGCTAGAATCACATCCTCGCTGCTGCTAAACGGGCATCACCAAATTGGCTGCTATGCACAGCGTAACTGCTGCCCTGACTATTCAACTTTCAAAAGTAGAGACTGTTCAAACTATTGTAGTAAGTGACAGCAACAAAAAACCAAACCAAAACCAAACAAAAACCACAACCCTCTCCTTCTACCCAGAAAGTGCTACTCCTATTTCTACCACAGCCCTGTTGTGAAAGTGGGCACCAGTCACTTTGCTCCAATATCCCTGCAACTCTGCATTTCGGGGGAAGAAGGAGACAAGTGGGATTGAAGCAAATAAATTCAGAGCAGAGGCTGATGAGGAAGGACAGCAAAACCTGAGAACTCAGTACTTCACATCATAGAAAGCTTGGGCAAGGAATTAGTTAACTGAGTGTTCTCACTTGCAAAACCCGCATCAATGTTATGGTGCCATTTTAAATTTAATGTCTTGTGAGCTTTGCCTTTAGGTTTAAAAGCTTCTCGGAGCACAAGCAACAATGCAAGAACCAACTCTTGATAGAGTAGTGACTGCAACCCATGCAGGTTTTAGTGTATCTCAGGAAAATACCAGTGTTAAAGATCTTTCAAAGTCTTATAAGGTTCATAAGCACAGCCTCCCTTTCTAACACGATCCTATATCTTTACAGGATACTTAGAATGAAGCTCTCCCCTGGCATTATGCAAGCTGAGCATTTGTTGCACCTATAGATTTTGCCCATTCTTTTAGAGTCAGTTGGGAGACTCACCTCTCAATAAGTCTGAGAGTGGAGGACCACAATCCTCTGGAATTGTGTAGTCACCTTTCCCGATGTTTTCAAATAATTTATAGATATTATCCCCTTCAAAGGGGTATAGACCCGTTGTAATGTTGTATCTGTAAAGGCAGAAGGAGAAGCTGTATGAGAAAAAGCACACAGAACAGGTGTTCAGTTCTTATATGACTATGTAAACCAAAAGAAGCCAAGAGGAAACTAAAAGATGAGTATTTGACAGTATTTGGAATGCCTCTTTAAACTTAGCCTTCCTTTATCACAGCCTCTTCATTCACATGAGTCAAAACCACCAAGACATCTCCCTGACAGGCTGGGATGGAAGAAACTTAAAAATAAATACTAGAGATATTTGTGGTTTCTATTATTACAGTAGCTGTGCATCTCGGATGCTGAGAAATGACTGGCAGAGTTACCCACTGAGAGTAAAGGTAACTTTCTTTAGAATTACAAGCACTTTGGGGAACATACGCCTATCCAAAGGAGGGACCAACACACATATACCCTCCCTGCTCCCCCCAACAACACACAGAAGAGCAGCGATGACAGCAGATGCACAAGACTGAACTATTTGGGGGCTTGTAATTTTTTATTGCAATTCCTGGATGCTGCACGGGCACTTACAGTGTGACCCCTGCGGACCAGATGTCTACTTTAAAGCCTGAAAAGGTGTCAAGGCCATTGGCAATTTCTGGTGGCTGGAATGCTGGCGACCCTTGGCTCGTTCTGCACGTGTCATCCTCTGCAAACGGATGCAATGCCTGCAGCAGAAGACACCCATTAGTTTTAAACTTTCAAGGCAGACAAATTGTAACTGTTAGAAAAGTTTCACCTGGGGAAAAAAGGGGAAGACACTGCTACTGAAAATCTACTTACGTATCATAAGCACGTGCCACTACAATAACTACATGCCATCAGTGACGATTCTTGCACTACTAGCTAAGACAGCCTTCATATAATAAGGAGGATAAGGTTACGTAGCTTATCGCCATTTCACCACACTTTTGGGTTTGTCTAAGACTGATGTCTTCCTCTATGTGCTTCCCAGATGGAAGTTTTGTACTGTTAACGAAAGTGTTTTGCCAATTACAATAAATATTCAGTGTCACTTTAGAGCACTCTGGAAGTTTAACAGAACAAAAGCCTAAATGCACAATAAATCAATCGACACCACAAAGGTGACCTAAATCTAGAATGTCACGCTTCCCACATTCCTGACTTTGCCGCAGTTCTCACATACCTCTGCTACGCCTAAATCAGATATTTTTAGTGTCCCATTGGTTGTTAGCAGGAGGTTCCCCGGTTTTATATCCTTGTGGACAATCCCTTGGCTGTGCAAGTATTCTAAGCCATCTATAAGCTGACAAAAGTACCTGCAGAAAGAGTTAAGAGGAAAAAAGTCAAGCACTTCCATAGACTAAGACCATGTGAACTACTAACAATACATAAAGCAAAGAGTGCTGTTATGGGAAACAAGTCGGAAATACATTTACGTTTGATGCTTAGGAACTTAAGATTGAACTGTGGTGTATACGAAATGGTACTAATCTTCTGACAAAGTCAGAAGTTACCTGCTAGAGCTCTGCACCAGTGTGCTAACCACTTCAGACTCTGGGCTCCTCCACACCAAAGCCCTCTTCACAAGTCTGCATATTTTGTAAGTGCTGAGCACCATGCTGGCACAGACCCAACAGTTAATTCTGACATCTGCTTTAGCCTAGGCTAAGTTAAGCTAGCAAAAGATGCTCTTTCAGTGGCATAGCTTTCTCTAACAGGGGGTGGGGGAAAAAAGTTTCCTTTAGCTAGCAGAAAGGAGTGTTTTGCTGGTACAGCTTACTGGCTGAACAAAGGTAACATGGATATGGTCAGAAACTATGGGCAGGCCATTACTGTAATGTAGGAAGCATTGTGCATTGACAGCCTGGCAACAACTGTGCATGCACGTCTTATCTCATAATATCCAGAAATAATACTTGACTTAATGTGCCTGTATTTCACTTAGGCTATTTGTAATCTCAGACACTTTTTTTAAACAAAATGAGAATACGACCATAAAAATATGTAGTTATCACAGATCTGCTGGTCTGCACTGATTTGATACACATGACAATCTTCTTGCATCTATTTCCAGAATTCTAAGGTTCCTTTATTTGCAGAATGAAAGGGGCTTCAGATTATCCTGTCTACTGACTAAACAAGCTAACAGATCATGCTGGATATTGCCAATCCTTAATCCATCCAAAGACCTTTAATCTCTTTTCTGACACTGAACTGTATGGCTTGCCTCCATTTAAGGCAGGGCAAGTCCTCGTGAATTCCTTCACTGCGCCCATCTTTGATGAACGGCAGAGCTGCAGCAAAGGGGCCAGGAAGGATTGTCATGCATCTCATGCAGGAAAACAAAAGTAACAGAAAATTCAACAGAAAGATGGTTTTTTTTGTCCCTGAATCTAAGGGCTATCCCTACCACCACTTCATTATGGTTTTTCCCACGGATGTAAAAGATGCAGTTATTACACAAAGCCAGTTTTTCTTTAAAGTGCAGCCAGCAGTCTAAGCAACAGAGTAGAACGTGCTCTTGAATTCAAGAAAGCTCAGTGGTGAGAGGCTAATACAGTCTAAGAAACAAAACTGTACTTACCCGTGAGCCTGAAAAACTGGAAACCTCTTTTCTGGGACACTGTCCAGCATTTCCTGCATCCCACACACACAGTACTCCATCACCATATACGTGAAGGCAGAGTTAAGGAAGCTTCAAGGGTAAACGCTTCTCAGGCAAACGCGGTGTGAGGACTGCAGCCCTGTTCCAGTGCAACTGGAGAGCTGCTGCACAGGCAGTCCTGTTACCTGGTATACACACACTGGAGAGGTAGAGCCTGAGCTGTGCCACAGCTCCTGAGGTAGCTACCGTCCTCCAACTGTCTAATAGGAGGAGGCAAGGAACCCACAAGAAAATTCTTCTGCTTAACAACCAGCTGCAACTCCATGATCAGACCTGAAACAGGATATGAACTCCACAGAAATTAAGTTGGAGATCTCACAAGCATGACAGAAATAGGATAATACTCTGAAGCAGCAACAAGAAGTTAGGGAACCCCTGGCAGAAGAGCCATAGGCTGTAGCATATTCTCCCAATGCCCTGGCTATTCTGCACTTGACGTAACAGTGAGCTCCCATCACCTTCCCCAAAGTTTGTTATTCTTCATTTCCTGTTTCAAAATGATATGGCTGTATGCACTGTTTAACAGCTGCTGCTTACCCCCATCCCCACGGTAGTATTTCAGTAGCAGGAGAAAGGATCCCGAGAGAGCTGGGAAGCTTTTTTGAAACTGCATGGATAAAAAAAGTTACAACAGAACGCCAAGAACTGGTGGCACTTTTTAGCACTTGTTCCCTTGCAGCATACTCTAGTTTTCATCTCCTTAAGCTTTAATGTTGGGGCCAAACAATGGAAACTACATAACTGCCTAAAGCAATAATTGCCTCTGTTTTCCTCCTCTCCCTGGGCTTTTAAAGGCAGACTGTGTGCTGAGGGGCTTGCAAGAACAGACCCTGAGACATCTGGTGGCTTTGCCAAGGGAGTGCACCTTCAAGATAAAGAGCGGAGAAAAGCATGGCTGTCAGGCAGCCCACGTTCTCCATTAACACAAAGCATTTCTTTGGTCACTCTAATTATTCCTGGCAGATGCCTTCTTAACCTAAGCCTAAAATAAGTTGCTTATATCCCAGGATGCCATCTTAACTCTTAAGGCAGGAGAGGCTAAAGAGATGACCTGCGCTTTAAGTGGGATCTGTGCTAAAGATTGTGTTGCCCTTTTGTAGCACGTTCTATCGAGGAGCTCAAAACACTGTCTGAACTCATTAAATTTGTGCTACGTTCCCCATATGAGCTGCTCTTCAGAGGGACACTAAAGCACTATGAGATGTTATGATGGGCACAATGCCACCTAGTAAATCAGTAGAAGCAAGAATAGCAGAAAGAGCTCCCAAAATTCATTCCTACCATTTCTTACTCTGGAAGAAATCTGTGAACTACTTATATCACAGTGACGTGGAAGACATCAACTCTCCCACCTTCAAGAGAGCAATACTAACAGTAGATTATATAGACCAGCTCCTGGGAAGCAAAACCCAGCTCTCGTTCTCACCTACAAAGGACAGCCTGATTTTGGTTTCATTTGCTGCCAGACTGTTTTTCATCCCTTCTTTTGTAACTGATCCATCTCTGGTTGATCAGCCAGATTAAAGTACAGACTTTCAGGCTGAAGCAGATCTATTACAGGCACCCCAAGAAGACTGAGGCTCTCAATTCTTCTAATCAATAGGGTTCTGCTCCCACGCACAACTGCACATACTGGTAACAGAAGCTGAGAGAGGGTGCCAGCTGGGATGCGGCTTATTGAACTGGGTTTATTTTCTGCCTGGATTAGTTCTCCATTCATCACCAGCTCTGCGTTCACAGCCACAGCAGGTTATCAAAGCAGCCATTAAATTCTAAATGTAGTTGATATTTTTAATCCAGTCATCACAGCTTTCCCTTTACCAAAGAAAATCACTGAAGGCTTTGACTAGGCAGGTAAGTTGTTAAAACACTATCTTCCCAAGTATAAACATGGCTGAAGCCTGCAGTTCACTTCTATCAGCAACAGAGAACTCAGGTGAGAACAGAATCCTTCCTTCTTCCAGAGGCCCAATTTCAAATGCCACAATGGCCATTCTGGAAGTTAGGACTGTTTTTATTAGTAAGGAGGAAGTTGACATCCCTCCCCTACACCCCAGTCAACTTCCACCTGGCATTTGCTTCCTGCAAGGCACTAATACAGGCACTTGCACGACTACACAGTGAAATGAGTAAGGGAAATGACCTACAGAGAAGCCAGCCTGAAAGAGAAAGTTACTTTTCAGCTGGATCTGTTCCCAAACCTGTTTACCATGCAGCTGCACAAGCGTTTGTGCTGCCACATCCTCAGACACACTGCACAGGCACCAGCGGTGCCAATGAGAATCTGGAGAAAGGTTAAGCAAGAACATGATCATGGATGAATTCCCACTCCCAGCCCCAGTGACACCACCACATTTCTCCCGGTATTGCCACTCACATGCACAGAATAAGCAGGAATAGAAACAAACTTTCTAAGAGTGTAGAAGCCGAGAAAGATAAAAATAGTGAAGTTAATCCATACTTGCAAGGGAAAAGTATTAAAAAACAAATTGTTCTTTTTCAAACACTACTGTTCAGAAAGCAAAGCAAGGAACATCCATCCTGGCTTAGAGAGATCACATTTCTGAATGACCATTTTGGGTTGTCATCACCTGTTACCAACACATGAGGTCTCTCTCGGGCTCTTTTTCCCCATGCTTCTCCTTCAGCATCCCAGCTTCTCATTAATTAAATGGTATCTTTCTATAGAGTGTAATTGAATTACAGTCCCTTCGGTCTGTTAAGGCTACAAAACACGAGAAAAAGTTGTTGTGCTTTTTTTTATACTAATGACTTGGTGGCAGAGTATTTGATCTAATTAAAGCACACAATTAAATTACCCATTTTATGAAGTATTGTAAGCGGAAGACAGTATTTGGAAAACATTGTCAAAAATAAAAGCAACCACTTACAACACATACTACAACAGATCAGCTCAATAAGCTTACAAACTGGTTCAAGTCAAAGTGCACTCAGCGGCAGACTCATTAGAAACCATCCAGCTACTCACTTGCACTTCACTTGCAAGTTAAAGCATGTAATTACACTGGCTAGCATCTGTGCATGCTCGGGGGGGACAGTGCACTGTAGAATAACATGTTAAAGTCTGAAAGACGCACTGAGATCACAAGCCACAGATTTGATTCAAGAGCTCAACAGTTTAGTCCCAAAAAGCTGAGCTGTGGATCTCACAGGAGCAAGATGATGTTAAACTCTCATGACTGTTTCAAGCTTTGGGTCACTTAAAGCACTATCACAAGGGACTGTCACACAAACAACACAACAGAGGAGGCTTGGGCAGGCTCAGGAGTTCATCTTATCTTGTTAAGGACAACCAGCAGCAAAGCATACCAACTGCCCACAGAAAAGGCAGCACTGCAGCAGTACAGACCCTCCAAAGGGAAGGAGAGAGTTGCAGGCGTCCAGATGCCAGTGAATGAGTAGATTTTTTTTCTTCTTTTGAGGGAAATAAAAAAGATACCTAAACCACTGCCAAGGACTTAAAGGAAAAAGCATTACAAAAATTGATTTCACATAGCATAGACAATAAAAGGTCCCTCTTCAGGGAAAAAGAAGCACTAACATATACCACAGCTAGGACAAGAGGTTAGAAATGACAGATCCGCAGCTTTTTTCATCCCTGAGTTGCTGAAGGTCACACAATAAAACACAGTATTTGAGGGTCAGTTCTCCCCTAGCCCAGCCCTGCATCTGTAACCTGGGGACAATATTTCGTTTCCTAACTGGGAAGCCAGGAAACTTAAGAAAGTATACTTGTGTGGAAAGTATTCCAGACATGCAGTATGTTTAACACCAGTGAAAGCAATTTTAAGCTTAAGAAACATTCAAAAGGGCCTTAACAAAAGCAGAACTATAATGATTCAGCACTATAGCAGAGAACAATGGGAATTCAAACCTTATTAACAACCCTGTGAAAAAAGGATATATTTTCTGCTTCTCTTCATTGTATAATACATCTACCAACTGGATAACATTTTTGTGCCGTAATCGTCGCAGGAGCTGAATTTCCCTGCAGGAAGAGAAAAGAAAAAAAGTTATGTTTAAAAAGCCTATTTCCTTACTATGGAATGAAATTAATGTTTTCTAGATCACATAGATTTTAAAGACACTTCAAACCGTATTAGTCCCAGCTGCTTCAACTAAGACTATACCTATGCATGCTTTTTGACAGAAGGTCTTGTGTGTTCTTGAATTCGTTAGTCCAAGGTTAGACCATGAAAATACTTACTGACTAGGTCACTGACTAGGACTGTAAACAAGTACCCTTTCAGTTAACACTACACAGCCAGTCAGTTCTCTCTGGGCAGGAATTTTAGTCCGTTGGTAAATAACAGCAGAACTATTCTCAAGGAGCAACCTACCTTTAGTGCCAGACATGAAATTGGTTCTAAGAATGCCCTGTGCCAATGCTTTGGTGCCCTTCAACACAGGCTGTGTTACTTCTGCTAATATAAAGTTTTATTCTGCACTCCAATGTAAGCGGTATTCCGGTTTTACCCACAAAATCTGTGCAGTGCTGCCCTTTAGCTATTTGACTGGTCAACAGTAGGATGTTGACAGCCAAACAGCCCCATCCAAAGTGAGCAGGAACAAGACAATGGCAAGCTTGATCAGAAGTAGTGCATCATGCTGAGCCAACCCACAGAAAACAACTCCTGGAGAGATCCTGCTGGACCCTCAGACACCAGGCTGTGTGGAAAGAGAAAGCAACCTGAGGACACACTCTGCAAACCCCCTGCCTCCACAAGCAGCGCTGGCACTGGACTTGCGAGGGCCTGGTGCAGCAAGCCAACCCTCCTCCTGCCAGCCATACAAGAGGGGTTTACAGTGTCCCCTGCGGTCCCCTTCTCAGCTCACAGCCTTTCCTATGGCCCTGGGTGAGTTGCCTCACCATTCCCAGTTAAAGCTAGTGCTGACTAAAGGAAAGGTATAATTGGAACTGAAACGCTGCCCTATCAACTGCTCAGGCAAGTCAAAGCCTATCCTGATTTGCTCCGCATGTCAAAGATGCAGCTTTATCAGCTTCCCTCCAATTAAAGCTGTTCAAACAATGCTGGACTGTTGGGAGCTTAGCCCACTATCAGTCTCTTCAGTTAAACCCCTAAAGATGCACTACATTTGTGATTACCATAATATCTAGGACAGTCACTTCCAAGACAAACCTTTTATGTTTGCACTTCGAGCTTCTTTATACCTAAGTGTCATCTGTAGTTACAAGAGCAGAAATAAACTTGCTTGGGCTTCCAGTCTTCATACTTCAGGGTATGTTTTTAATCAGCATCGTGACCAGGAACAACCCCCACAGATGTCGGTGTAACGCAGCATCGTGCAGTTAGGTGCGCTCCTGTTGTCACAGGCAGGCAGCGCCCGGTGCCAAACGTGGCAGAGTGGTTAACATGCTATATAGCCCATTTCAGCACAAATTCTGTTATTTAGTTGGGAAGCAACTTGAATATTAGTTACTTGCCAAAAAAAGAAATAAAAAGGTTTCTATACCTAACAAGCAATTCCTTCTGATAGTTGTATTGTAAATGGATAGAAGTCATTTAAACAAATATAAAAACATCAGAAACTGGCTAACCTACTTAAGACATGAACAAATGAAACTAAATTGATTTTTTATTATACCACAAGAAATTCATCCGAAAAGGGGCTGTTCAGCAGAACCTGATTTTCTACAGAACGTAGAAACTACAGAAAAACCAGGAGAGGTACCTCACTAGTAAAAAGAGACAAGTGCATTACCAGAAGCACTGCATCTTGCATGATGCACCCGGTCTGCAGCCAGAAAAGGGACGACAGCCAACGCTGCCAAAGGGGCAGCGAGTCGCCAACGTTCCCAACCCGAGAAGCCCTGCACCAAAAGCTTCCTGTGGCCAGGAGACGAGCGCGATGGATGTCAGAGCTGAGGGACAGAGGAACTCACAGCGAAGTTCACTGACAACAGCCCCCCAGCAGTCTCATCAGCCCCTTGCAGAGCTGGCCTTGGCTGGGTCCCAGCAACCCCAAACTCTGCCTCAGCACCTCTCCGGCTCACCTCCTCGCTCCCGATGAGAGCTGTCTGGAGACCTCCCACCGCAACGCAACCCTGCTCCCTGCTGCACGAACCACACCGAGAGCTGCTCGGAAGCCATGCACAGTTTAACAGCTACAGGCTGCCCACCCCTGAGCACCACCAAATACAAAATACAACAAGCTGTTCGGTGTCAGGGTTGCAGGCCAAAGACCCCTGAGCTGGCCAGTCCATTAGTGTGATCAGTTTAAGTGTCTTTACAGTAAAGTTAGTACAGAAATCATCCTGAAGACGTATCAAATTCCTCACATGCAGTAGCCAACTATTGAGGCAGTTTCGTAATGGCCTTTATTCAAGCTATAACTTCCAGGAGAATTCAGAAATGAAGCGACCAATGTAGGAATTGCAACATTCGTCTCAAGAATGAGTCGAAAACAGGAGTTACAGCTAGTAACTCCATTTCTTCCAAACTTCAGTCCTAACTTAACTTGACTGAACAGTTCAGAGATCTGAATTGAATCCTCTGTTTGTGGAGAATAAATAATGTAAAGCTGAGTGAGGAGACATCTTCCCTTGGCTATGAAAATGGACCCTTGTATGTCATCTCATATCAGCTGTTTTGATCTTTGTCTCTTGGGATTTTGTACTGTGCTCCAAACCACATTTTAGTATCTTTTGCATTAAAATCAGCCTGCAAAATCCCACTGGATGCCAGCTATGAAGAGAAACAGGAGGATCAGGACAGTCAGGTCAGGGTGGTTCTGTCAGTGTCTGGAAGTGCAGATACTGCTCCTCACCTTTGTTCTTCTGTTCCTCGATTCTGGGCTTGTGCTAAACTATACCTAAACTCTTCTTCCCAGCTTCTTTCTCTTGCCATTTGGTAAGTTGCTTTAAGAAGCATGGTTACATTTCAACAGCCAGGACTCTTGAAAGCAGCATTACAAGGAATTCAGAGCACAGCTTCGGAAGCAAGAGCCTCTGCCCAAACACATGACACACTGAGCTCAGAAAGCCACTCACCCCTTGCCTGCACAATTAGCCAGCCTCTAATAACAGGCTGTGGCCAGTACAAAGGCGTGTTGATGCATCACATCTGATTAACAAACCAGTAACTGCTCCTTCGAAAGGCTCATAAGTTGCAAGCAGGCTTTTAAAGATCTTTTAAGGATCCCTGACCAGCAGTATTACTTCACACCAAAGTTTAGGCCAGACACTCTTCCTTTATCATATATGGCTTTAAAAAAAATTGCGATAGCTAAACAGAAACCTAGGATAACAAGGCAAAGCTCAGCAGAGTGTTTAGTTCAAATGGCAGACAGATTTGCAAAGTGATGCAGCCACTCTAATTATAGTAATGACCAAAAGGCTGAAGTGGATTAAATTAGCATAGAAACTGCAGCCAGCATTAGTGTAGGTCTAAGAAGTTTCTGCATAATGAAGGGAGACGGGCTGAGTGCTCAGACCAAGCCGGCAAGAGAGGGAGTGAACACACATTCTTATTTAAATAAGACTACTTTGCTGTGAAGGCAAAGCAAGCTTCCAATATTAGGAACATATTTGAAATCCTGATCCTAGCAGCTTATTCCCTGTAATATGGCTTGAAAGCACAAATACTAATTCCTGCCACCTTTAACAGACTAATAAATATTTCATATTCCTGTAATGATTTTTTTTTTTTCCCAAGAGGACTTCGTGAACCAATCTAAAATGCCAGTGAAGTGCACCCACCTCTGGGGCAGAGGCCAAGCAGCCCATTTCCCAGAGGAAAGATTACTTCTATTTTTAGCTACTCTTGCATTCTAGAATGACTGAGGAACAGAGACAGCCAGACCACAGTCACCTCCAATTCCATTTTGGTTTTCAAACTTCACCGAGCAAGTGAACATAGGTGCTCACCTCATCAGAAGGTGCCCAAATTTACATTTTTCAAAGTTAACAACAAAAAAGCCACCCCAGCCCACTGCTTTCTTTGCAATTTGCCTGCACAATAGTGTTTCAATTGACAGCAATGGGAGAGAGATGTGCATGCCTACAGTTTGCTGCCTTTCCTCTAACCAAGGCAAGGTGGCTTCCTGCCTTTCCCATACTAGCCTAGTGAATCTGCTCAGATTTTCAGGATACCTTCTGAGCTGCTGCAACTTTGCCTCCTTTCCTTGCTACCTCTAAAATTTAACACGAAATTTAAATCACAACAGTTGCTTTTGAGATCAGACCTCTCCCCAACGCAGAGGGAAAGGGAGAATCCCAGCAAGGGAGCTAGGCTGTGCTCTCTGCAATGTGGTAATCGCTTCCGTACCCACCCTACTCAACACCACTATTATGTGGCCAGAATAGTCTCCATCATGGAATTCTGTTCCTAGTTTTCCACACTAGAAAGCCCTCAAGTGTGTGACAAGACAGACTGTCAGAGTTCGGGGCCCATTTCAAAGTATAGCTATCTTGGAGGAAGAACAGAAGAGAAAAGAAAAGAGAAGATCTTCTAACTCAAAGGTTTCTATGTGGTTCCGTCAGACTCATTAAGCTCATCCTGACAGATTAAGACTTACCCCTAGCAAGGTACCTTGCTTTGGCAAGTAACAGAGTGGTGGTGGTGTATATAGCAAAGCTACCAACTTGTACCATGTGCCACACGATTTTGGAAGATGCCAAGGACAGCCTGGAAAGATGACATTCTTCCCTGGACCATTCTGGTAAAAGCACATCTCCACCATGAAATTTAGCATTCTTTCTACAGTTTGTTTCAAGCCTGTTTTATCAAAGCCATTCTTGCTTAAACAAAAATGAGCAGTACAGCCAAAAGATTCATTCCCTTCCTTTGGTTGACAAGGTTCCTCCACAGGCCTAAGCTTTTAGGATTTTACTGGAGACACATGAGGGTGAATCTTTTCCATACTACCTACCAGGTCAGATCATGTGTCAGAAATGAGGGTTTGCAGCAGGTCTGCAGTGAGAGCCTTCAGCCTGGAAGAAGCTTACCCTCACCCACTCCTTTACCC